AGTTTTGGCTGATTTTCGCATTGCCTGAAGTACAAATTTGTGCAAATATATGTGAACATATTTGCACACATTCTGAAACTGCAAATTGATGAACTGAAGAGCAAAATCCCCAAATTCTACAAATTGCTCATGGAATGAGTTTCTTTCTTTTTCTTTTCCCTAAAAGGATACATGTGGCAGTCCACTATAGTCCATTTCAATGTACTTGAGATTTTTTGGGTGACTAATTATTTTTCCTGGTTGGCCTATACAAGGCATGAATCTGATTTGCAATTAATCTTTTGCATCTGCCTCAGTGCATTCACCAGTGGCTGCTGATTTGTAAAACCAAAAACCAGAACAATCCAGGTCCCTCATTTTTTCTGACTGATGGAAAATCGGATAACAGACAGACAGACAGACAGATCCTGTCATTGAGAATGTGTGCATTTTGCACGTATTCAGTCATACATCTAGTGAACAAAGCTGAGACGAAGAAAATCGGTGCATTTGAAACATAGTGCTGGAGAACAGCTTTAAAATGCCATGGACTGACAGACAGACAAAGAAGTGGCTCCTAGATCACATCAAGCCAGAGCTTTTCTTAGAAGCAAAAGTGGCAAAGCTGAGGCTGTCATACTTCAGGAACATCATGAGAGGCAGGACTCTCGAGCCAGAGAAAGTCAAAGACAGGAGAAGAGAAGGGAGACCAAGTATAAGATGGACTGATTGGATAAAGGAAGTCACAGCCTCAAATTTACAGGAGCTGAGCAGGGTTATCATGGATAGGGGAGAGCTTTCACTCCTAGGATTGCCATAAGTCAGAGACAAATTGACAGCACGTAACAACAACAACAGCCATTTCATCCAGTTACTACATTCCATCTTCAATTTGTTGTAAAATCTGCACAGAAATTCACATTTATCTTCATATTCATATTACTCTGATATAAGCCTCCTTCCCGATATGTGCATTTTCCACACCATTTCCCTCATATGTCCATTCTTGTATTCCACCTTTGTGCCAAGAACTACAGTGCAAAACTGTGTTTCAATCTGCATATTGCTCTAAGAAGTTTGTATTAAATCGGCTCACTTTTGCCAAACAAAATTCTTTCTCATTCTTACGGTGAAGTGCCCCACTGAATCATATCGTGCTTCAGAGGAAGTGAGGTGATATAAAACCTGTGCCGTGCTGGTGTCTGTTTCACACTTGCAGCTGATCCGTGACACTGTAGTCCTCAAGTGACAAACATACATAAACTAAACAATCTACGTACCAAGTATCTCAAGAGGAAAAAATAATAATCTTACCAAGGAGGAAAAACCACAAATGCCACTAAAACCTTCTCTCTGTCTTCTGCACCCAAAGAATAGGTTTTCTATTCTCCCAGCCCCCCATATGGCTGCTGGATAAGGAACAGTGATGCTGGCACACCAGACAGCACTGTCTGGAGATTAATAGATAGTCTGTTTCACTGTTTTGTTTCTAATCTATCAAGCACTCAAAAACATGTCCTCAGTATAATTAAAACAAGTGAATCTCTCCAATGGGCTTGGGAAGAATAGATTTCTTCTGAGGCCCAAGTCACAGGCAGTGTGATAGTTGCTATACTTTTTAACTTTGAGATCAAAAACGGACCATGCCTTCAGCACGGAAGAGCATTTGAGAAATAAGTCACCAGCTTGAGGGTTGTGGCTAATTTGCATGTAAAGTCAGCATCATCTGCACTTCATTCACATGTATTTCATACAAGGAGCTGCAGCTGGGCAACCTAATTGCAACTATCGGAGCATTTCAATGTATGCATTTTGTATATCTTAAAAATGAAAAAAATGGGGAGTTGATTCTTGAAAAGAAGATTCTTAGACATCACAGCCTCAGTATCTTCAAGCATTAACATCTGTAGCAAATTCAACAAGATGGAAGTACAAATAGCAGATGGAAATGCCAACCAGGGAAGAGATGCTAAGCTTGTTCTAGTTGGGATTGCACAAAGGGATTGTGCTGTTTGGAAGTTTCTAGATTCAGCTTTGCTTCTGGACAGGGCTGGGCAGGGACCCTGTTCCTTGGTGTGTTCTTCCAAGAATATATACTAGCCTCTGACCAATGAAAAGCTAACATACAAATTAAGTTCCTTAGAAGAGGAAGAGAGATGGGTAGTGGTGGCAGTTGTAATAATGCACACCCTATTGGTCAGCCTACTTAACAGGAACATTTTTTTTTTTTTCAGTTGCAAACTGCTTTTCCATTGCATTGTATCCTGGAGAGGGCTGCATGTTGGCAATGGAGTGGAAGCTAAATCCCATGGTGGGCAGGCTTGGAGCTAAAAGTGCATGAGCCACTTTTCTTTATCTCATTCTATTTTCTGTTTCTGTAACCCACTTTTCTCTCTTTCCACCCAGCATGAAAGAGGCAAATTCCTGCTGATAGAGGTCTGAACTCATCATATCCGGACATATATTTAAATTAGACCAAAGACTACATTCTGAGCAGGAAGATCCACAAAGTCTATCCACTTGTGCCCAACAGAACACAATTAGAAGTTGGGTTAAGGTAGGCTGATAAGGTAGGCTTCCTAATCACAAAGATGCTGTCAACCACATACAGATGATCACATCCTTCCTACTTAATGCAGAAATGTCTTCACAAGGGCCATGCACTCAGGGGTGTTGGGACTAAGGCAGGCAGGCCGGCTGGGCAGCCAGCCAGCCGGTCCCTGCAATTCTCCATATTTTCAGCCTTTATGTGTGCAGGCAAATGCCTTAATAGGTCTTAGGTGGCTATGAATTGGAAGTCAGGTATCTTGTGGTGGGCAATCTGGAAATATGTCACAAATGTGAGGGCTGTGACTACCTGGATCATTTCTCCTTGCTCCAGGGGAGTGTGTGTGTGGTGGCGGTGTGCAGTGGTGGTGTAGGGGGCAGGGGAGAAAAGGCTTCTGTGCTTCTACAGAACCTTCCAGCTGTGGCTCTGTTTCTATGTTGTTCTTTCCCCAAGGTGGTAATTCAGTAAATACAGCTGAATGGGTGGGACAAGTAAAAGACAGACAGAGTTTCAGTGCCCCGATCTCTAGCTATCAATGCTGTCTGCGGTGTTACTTATGCACTCAAATGTTTATGCTTACTTTGCATGTTTGTTTGTTTACAATACCCTAAGTTAGATTCATATTATGCTTTCCCTAGACACTTTACTGTTCATTATGATCTCATATAACCTCAAAAAGGAACAAATGACCATATTTTAATACAATTTTTTTCTCTTAGTGAATTGTATCATTTTTCCATTAAATATGACTACTGGTCTTTAGAGATGAATCTTTGCAGATGCTTCCCACCACCAGCAAATCATTCTATGCAATCCAGTGTTCTCTTAAACAAAAGACAAAGGCAACATTTGCATGCATGTAAAGAAGTACATTCACAGCTGTAATATTCCCCATTGTGGCTCATGCTGTATGGGTCATTTTTAAAAACGAATACCTTTATCAACTGTGGGAACATCAGTACTGGAAACCACCATGGTCTGTTTGGGTCCCTGTACCCACTTTTAAACGGCTTTTATAAAAACCTTGGAAGCCTTTCTGCAGATCAGAAAGCCGACTTTTCCCCACATTATAACCTCTGGCCGGAACAAAAGTTGCGACACAGCCAGCAGAAGAATCCTTTATTTGTACTCAGGCAAGGCTCTGGGCTGCAGCTGTGTCTTTTATAAGTGCATTGCCCTGTTGCCCCTGTTTTATGCACAAGGCATGTTCTGCCACTCTTGTGAGGCAGAGCAGTGAGGGCAGGACTCCCTCTTTGCCTTGATGTTCTATCAGAAGGCCAGCTAGGGCTATTTCTTTTCTTGTTAGATATATTCAACTCTACTGGAAGATGCACTTGGCATGGATTCCTATCAAAAAGGCCCCCCAATCAATTGGACAACTAAAACAAAATGATAAATACCATGAAGGAAGTATCACAATATGAGAATATTAAAAACACTGAGGAGATGCTGTAGCTAAAATCAATGTAGCTACAGCTTGAAAGTTAAATGCCTGCTGAAAGAGAAGGTCTTAACCTTGCATCAAAATACATACAGTGACAATGCTGGGCTAATTTTCCTGGGAAAGGCATTCCAAAGACAGGGGGCCAATATAGAGAAGGTTATGTTCTGATAGTTGCACTGTGGACAGCAGAACATTGGAACATAGCATCCAAAGACAACCTTAGCAATCAGGTAGCAACATATAAAAGAAGATGTTGTACCAGAGAGCCTCATACTAAGCTGTTTAGGGCTTACTGAGCCTGCACCAACACTTCAAATCAGGTCCAAATATTTAGTGGCAGCAAGAGGCACGCTGACACTAGAGCTCCAGTGATGGTAAGCCAGACGGGTTGGGCTTTGTTCATGGATTTCCATCTCCAATGTGGCAAAGACTTTAAGCAGATTTTTTAAAAATTGCTAAGGAAATATGCACAAATCATGCAGCTTGTACGAATTGGACTAGCATAGTTTGCACAAATATCATAATGTGCACAACTAGGAAAGTGAACATTTAATTGTTCTGGAGTAATTTGTGCAAATTTCCTTTAATTCAAAAATTGAAACAGGCACCCACAAGTTGGCTTGAATTGCACTACAGCAAGTCACCCGTGGCATAGGACTGGCACGCTGGAATTGGGAGTGGAAAGTACATTCATTACATATCCCTACTGACACCCAGTATCACTGAAGCATCACCAGAGTAGTAAGCTTGAGATGATCAGTGGTAAGCTGGCCTGCTGCTCTATTTGGATCACCCTCACCAGTCACTATACCCTGATAGAGATTCCAAGGACTTTGTTCTACTTAGGACTTTGTTCTAATCCATCCCCAGAGTATTGAAATAGCCATGAGACCCTCTAGAAGCAGGAGAAGGAGGAAACTCTCTAACCAACTTCCTAAAATATATATCTTCAGCAGATTTTTAACAGACCTTCTCAATCTGGGCCAATAACTTTTGCTTTGGAAAACAACATCCATGAATGACAGTTACCGTTTTATTGCTTCTTCTTGTTTCCGGCGCTTTTCATTCTTTTCTTTCAAGTAAGCCAGGTTCGTTTCATTCCTCATGCGATCATTCTCTCGAGCAATGTCTGATGCATTCTGTATGACCAAGCCATCATAAGCTTTCATGCCCATGTCTTCAATATACTGGAGAAAAGTGCCCAAAGTGACCTCCTCTTGATTAGAACTCATCATCTTGTGGGAGATAATAAACAGAAGAAAATACTTCCTGTGGGTTGACCAAAAAAAAAAGGAAGAAATTGAAGTCTGCACAAGTAAATAATTTCCAGTTACTTTTACCCGTATATGAAAGACATATATCAGAAATACATCAACATTTCCAAACACGATTTCATGCAAGGCTGGAGAGGACAGGTGTCAGTAACTGCTGGATCTTATTTTTTAAATAATGTGGAATCAGCTGTTGGAAATCCCATTGTCTTAGCAGTTCTGCATCCTGTAAACTGCATAGCACCTGATTGAGCAGTTAAGGCTACTATGCCCTTGTGCACTCTTACATTTGTAGCCAAATGAGGACTTTGTGGCTACAACATTAAGTCAGTCTTTTTTCCCACACTAGCCCTTCTGCTTTCCCTGATGAAGAATTCTGAAGAACCCTAAACCTTGCACATTTCACTTTGTTCCTAACAAAGAAAAAAAAGCTCTAAAATAAATCTGCTTTTTTTTTCTTGTGAACTAACATGGTCTTTCTTTCTTTGGAGACATTCTCAAAGTAGGTCTCAATTTTTGTCACAGTCAACACACTAATAGTGTAAGACATTGTTATTTATGGTTTTATGGTAGTATTAATGAAAAGTTCTTGGCTGCCATCCACTGAAATGTTCACACCAGATTCAAGTTTATGGGGTCATCTCTACTTTAGCACTTAAACTTCAACAGATATCTCAGAACACTCTCTTGAATAGGAAAGGCAACCAGGGGTTTCAGAAGGAAGAGCTGAAATGCAACCTGAGAAGCTCCAGAGAGATCTTAGTGATGGTGTTGTCATGTGAGAAGTATTAGCCTTTCCTCTACTTGGTCATAACTCTTTTTTTCTTACTGATTTTGATATGGTAGTCCCATGTAAAACCTCGACATTTGAATTGTTGAGGCTCAGACATTTGAATAATATCTTCCAGATACTAAATGACACAGTTATTTTCTCTGCACCTGTACTGGTGGTATAAGGGAGGAGAGACTGAATACATGCATGCAAATTTTAGGTCAATGGGGACTAGATCAACTAAAAAGCAGGTGTGTCAATTAAATTAAGTTGCCTTAACTTAATTTGTAACCAGTTTTGGAACAGCATTAAGGAACAGCATTAACAGCATAAACTTCAAGAGCTCCTAAGATGTATTTTTCTTCTCCAGTATCAAAATGGCATAGAATGGATCTCACATAGTGTCAGCATCTGTGAAGTAATATCAGTGACAAGAACAGCATCCATGCAGAGCCTTATATGGAACTTTTGGTATCCACAGAAATTAACATCTTCTCAATAATTCTTCTTGATTCTATAATAGGCAAATGCTATTACGAGGTGTATCTCTGATATTACAAAGCAGGATTTCAGGACCTAATGACTGAAATGAGACCTGAACCAGAGTTCCAAGCTCAGTCCCTTAGACTGCAATCCTGTATGTGCTTAAAAGGGAATAAGTTGCATTGAACTCAATGGGACTTGAGCGCACATGCATAAGACTACATGGTTGCTCACTTTAACAAGTTAGTTTTCATACAAAATAGGGATCATTATATAGTCTACAACGATCCATTTGAACAGCCTGGATTTTTTTGTTTATATTTAATTGTATTCATGCTATTGGTTGTTTGCAGTTTTTCAGTATGTTAAATGTAGATTTGTAATTTAAGCACATTATATTTGATCTTAAAAAGTGTGGTACTTCCTATAAAGTGAGACACACAGCCAAATATTGCTGTGTAGTCCTATATGAGCAAATCAGGGAATTCTACTTTTTCCCCCTTCACCATATCTCTACATTTCATGATTGCAGAGTATGTTTGGGGCAGTTGGTCAGTTTTAGAGATTTTCTGCATCCTCTGGTGATTTTAAATACCTTTGGTTTTTAATTTTTCCTTTTATTCCTTCCTGACTATGCCTGTCCTCAGTATCCTGGTAGCACCACCTGAATTTGCTGTTAGATAGAGTGTTTGGTGCCCAATCACCTGTTCAGCACTGGCAGACTGGGCATGGTTTTAGAGTGAAGCAGATTTAGGGTGTAAGAGTGAACTATAAGGCAAAATGAAAGGTATATAGCATATATGACCTTCCTATAGTTTGATTATTTAGTGAATGGCTCAGGCATTTAAGAATACAACAAGTCAGCAGTTTGTGTAGGCTAAGAAGGTCATTGCTTCCTCTAAAGCACAGCATGGTTTAACTTCTTGCCACTTTCTCTTCATCTCAGCAACAGTTTCAAGATAGTAGGGAATACCTTAGAATCAGTCCCTGCAATCAGCTGTCAGCAGGGAAGAAATGAAGTTCAGCAGAGGAAAGTGTTTGTTTTTTCCCTACTTTTACTCTTCCTCCCAGTTTATTCAGTTTATGGCAAGGTCAAGCAGTTCCCTGAATAATCATTCCCCTCCTGTGAGTGTCTGTATGTCTAACTGCAACCTTGTCATAACAATTCACATGTGATTTTTGTAAATGCAAATAAATAATTGAGTCTTCAATGCAGCAATGAGGCAATCAAGCATCTCTGCTTTTTTAAGTGCTAATTTACTTGGTTGAGGAAAAAAAAAAAAAGAATGCACCTACAGAGACCATCAAATAAAATGAAAACCAACACTATTGGTTTTTAGCAACCAAACCCCAATGATTTCAATCAGTTATTTATTCTTTATTATTAACTGATGGATGTTGTTTATTAGCTGCATTTTTCTACATAATCCTCCTCTTCTCAACTTTACAAGCCCTGTGAATTTCACATGTGCTGATTCTGCCCGAAAGATAGACCCTTCTACCTAGTGGCTATACTTCACAAGGCCTCTGCAGTGTTACTGTAGGAAGCTATTTTATCCTCACCACAGTGCTGTGAGGTAGGTGAGACTGACAATCACTGACTTGCCCAAAGTTACCCAGTGACTTTCTTGGCTAGGTGGGACTAGATCTTGGATTTCCTGAGTCCCAGATCAACACTCTAAACACGATGTCACACTGGCTAGAACCATGTCTAGTCAGATGTGTAAAGAGGTGCTATGTGCTAGCTTGATCTCAGTCAGCTGCAAAATGAAATACAAGTGCCCCATTGTTTCATAAGCAATGCCTTTAAACATGTGTTTGATCATAAGGCGAATAGGGGGCTTGAATTAGTCCCCCCAACCCTATGACTTTTTCTCCAACAAAAAGGTGGACTTTTGCTGACAATCAGACAACCTGATTAGGTTTATGACTGTACAGCAGCTTAATGCTGTACATTAGACATAGTTATACTGAAAGTTCTCATGTGTGCAGACTTCTTTCTTATGTGTGCAGAGAAAATGGCAAGGAAAATTCTGCATGGAAGCACATGGTGGAGCCCTTGCAGGGGTGTGAAATCAGTCTGTGCATCAGACCTCTTTTGTATGAAACAACCCCCAGATTGTGCTACATTCTGAAATAGTTACAGTCCTAGGGGACAGTACTGCATAAATTTCTGAATGTCTGGATTGACCTGAAAACCGCATTTGCACTTGCAATTTGCATCATGATACCCACGCATGTGAAACTGCTCCCTATACACACTCTAGATATTTTCACAATAGTGCAAACACTCTCTCTCACATTCATTTCTTATAGCCCTTGTGCAATAAAAATCCCCTTAAAAACAGATGAAGTCTCTTCACCCATAGTGCTTGCCACATCCTGCTGTCACTGCACTGGTTATTTTTCAAATGTCTACCGCTCTACAATTCGTATGTGTGATTTGAGCTATGCAAAATGTGGTGATGCAGCAGAAACTTATTGTGAGTATAGGGTGGAACAGGTTGTTAAAATAAAGAGAAGAGGTAGCTACCATATTTCATGAATATAAACAACACATTTCTGTTGGATTGATGGGTATACATTTCTATGGAACTATATAGTGAAAGATATTCCATATTGGTCTAACGGCTATATATCAACACTTAAAGCAACAATTCCTTTCTTTATCTTTAGATATGGGAGTTTAAAAGAGCACAGTGGGGTTATTTATCATGCCATGCATGTTATCATGTGGTATGATTCTAAACTTCTAAGATTTGGTGTGTACATCCCACTTCTGTCCCGACTCTCACTCTTTATATGTTCAGTGCATGCATTTGCTAGCATAAAAATACACTCGTCAAAAGTCTAATATATGAACCACAGATAAAATTCCGGTTGCAGTTCCTGGTCTGCTCTTTCATTGTGTGCTGCTTGAATTGCATACAAGACAGTAAAGTGCCAGTAGGCTGGGCCACATCCCATTTCTAGCAGACTGCTGACTACAGCACCACTGTTAAAGACCTAATAGCATTGGTGTATTAGACACTGGGTTTCTTCTCCCCTCCCTCTCCCCATCTTCTCCAGAGTTGATGCCTTTTATGAAATGGCTTTTAGAAGACACATTATTTCTCTGATAGGCACATTGTCAATGAAGCTCTCATATTACGTCTGGCTTATGTCTTGTTAATTTTTAACTGTACGTTATTTTTTTTTAAGCCAATGTCTTCTGATTGCACATGGTCCATTTGCAGGGAAACAGGGTCTAGGCTTCCTACATCACATTAAAGAATGTGCATAATGTATAGAGCAAAGCTTACTTATTTCATCGCTTCTAATATTCCCATGCAAGACCGGTCATCCCACTAACTTTCTGTTACTGTTTTGGCTACTCTTGCTCTACTTTCACCTAATATAAAATGCTCCACCTTGCAATCATATACAAGGTTAACAGGAACTCCTGCAGAAGAATGAGAAACATACCTTGCACACCAAGAAAGAAAGCCACATTTCTATGGAGGTGCATTTTTATACAGTCTTTTGTGCATGCCAGTAATAAAGAACTTTATAAATCCTGTGATTTTGGGATGGTATGATTCTGTGTAAAGGGCATACCCTCCTTCCTAGCGTCTGTGCAAAATGTAAACTATGGATCTTATCATTACTAGGAAGCCACTTTTGCCATGAAGCCCTTACATATGTGTTTTATCCTGGATACACAATTTAC